GCTTGATGACACCCGAGGTAGAGAATGTTTGTCTTCTCAATTTGGGCGACCCTTTACATTAGATAATTCCTAAAGTCATCATCCATTAAAAATATTTGATTATGAAGATTAGAAAATGACTTAATTAAAACAGCTATTGCCAAGCTGTGAAAAATCCCTTTATCCGGTGTTTATCCTTTCCAGGGTTTTTCCTGGATGGAAGAAATCTTGGCGCCCACCAAAAGAGGTTCAAGTCAGCGCCAAAGGAGAATCACCAGCGCCAAAATGATAAGGACTGAAAATACGTTTTGGTAATGGGGGTTTCATTTACTCAAGCATAACAGGCATCTTCTTATATAAAGTGGTCAAAAATAACAGGATAATACACAGATTTCCTTTAAAGTAAGATCCGTTTCCTGACTGTGGACTGAATATCCGTACAGTCACTGCACAAAGGCTCATTCTGAGTCAGCAGAAACCCTGCTCTCTGTTTGTAATTACAAATTGCAAGTTCTGGTAATAAATTAATCAAGAGCTTCATAAATTATTAATAAACACAGATTTTGGTCCTGAGCCTCTGCAGTGACTTAACAGAAGTGGCCATAGCGGGGTTCAAAAATCAAATCAAATCAGGTTTATTGTCATGTTGCTGTACATACACAGTCGTACAGGCAAGAAGAGAGAGCCTTTCTTCAGGATTGTTCAACCAGCAAGTTTTGCAGAATGCACGTCTAGGATAAGACACTAAATGTTCCCTCTTGCTGCCTCCTGAAGGGGGCGCTGCGTCCATGCGCGCCGCCATTCGTTGAACATGAGGTCCTGGTAGGTCTTCAGGGACACAAAGACACACATGATGGTGTGACGATGGTGAAGCCGCAGATGCTGCCCAGAGCTAGCTGTCTGTCTGTCCACCCGGAATAATGTGGTTCCCTCCAGCTGTATGTCCGTCTGGGATGTTGTCATGGAGCCATGTTTCTGTTAAAGCAAACACTCAGCAGTCCCTCCACTCTCTGTGGGTTTCTCTCAGCAAACGTAGCTCGTCCAGCTTGTTGTTGAGGGAGCGGACATTGGAGAGTAGGAGGATGGTCCTGCTGGTCTGGAGGGGTTAGCCTTTAGCCTTTAGCATGGCTCCTGGCTCTCTTCCTCCTCCTTTGTTTACATTCGCACCATTTGCGCTTCCTTCTCTCTCCGGTAACTGCCGGCGTAGTCTCCAATCGGACTCCGTGTTGGTGTAGTATATCCACATCACAACCGATCGCCGGAATTCCAGCGCCATTCGCTGTCCTGATGGCCAACAAAGTCTCCCAGCTGCAAGTTCTGCGGAATGAACGTCCGGGATAGACAAGACACTAAACGCTCACTTTCATTGTCTCCTGAAGTGGCCACTACATTTATGTGCGCCACCATCACCATGGTAGTTGCATCTAATAAATATGTTCACTACCCGCCTATTATGTTAGCGAGTAATTAACACATCATTTGGTCTATACCTTCAAAAAACAGTTCCAACTCCCCAAAGCAACATCTTCAAAAAGCTTATTTTGTTCGACTACCATATCACAACACAAAGATATTGAATTTACTGTCATACATGACAAAGAAAAGCAGGAGATTCTCACATTGAGAGAAATCAGGCAGAGCTCAAGAAGTCTGGCCTACACGAATATGCTTGAATTTAAATTGTAACTCTGTCAAGTAAAGAAAAATAAAAGGAAAGCATATCACCTAAACAAAAAGTAGCATTTCAGGTTATTATCAGCATTATTATGTTGCAGGAAAATGTAGAGGAGTAGTTACATGACAGACTAGGGCTGCACAATATAACGCTCCGGCATCAAGATTGCAAAGTGCACATGTATAATAGTTATATCGCAGGAATTACAATGTGAAATTAAGCAAAAATAACTGAAACAAATCATGCTAAGAAGTGCAGCTTAATATAAAATAAAATTGCACCACTAATCTACAAGAGAAGTCTGTCTGATGGAACATAATTTACTCTGATTTCAGGGTCTTTGGATAAATTAAGTATATTTTTAACTGTATTTACAAGACGTGCAGTTTGTTGACACGCAGGCTCCTCGGGTGAGCAGCGAAATAGGCGAGGAACAGGAGAGAAACGCTTAAAAGGAAGATTTGGTTGCAAAAAGTAACACAACAGTTGTACAAAAAAGGTTACGTGACAAAAAGCAGGTACTCTGTCGACAGTGTCCTGCAGTTGTTGCCACTGCATTAGGCAGCACAATTTATTAGTTTCCTTTAAATGAGCCCCACAAAGGCCACCACTGATAGTTATTCAAGTCATCTGGAGCAAATTCCTGTATTTTTTCTTTTTTTTTGGCAATATATATCAAAGACAAACATAATATCGCAATGTGAGTTTTTTCCAATATTGTGCAGCCCTACAGCAGACTGAGAGTGAAAGTGACAGTGTTTTTAAACACATACTTCCTAACCTCCAGAGGAGACCAGTAGATGAAAAGCAGCTGAACATTTGATAGGCTACTTGGACAAGAATGTCCACAAAGAATCTGACTCATCCTGCACTCATTTTTTGTTATTTGTACCTTTTCTTCCCATAATCCTCTAATGTTTTACTAACTGTGTACGCTTTTCTGCTTTTGGTAAAATGTTAAACATATTAAATACCCAGTAAGGCTTGATTTAGAATGAGAACCAGCAAATGATGGACTGAAACAATTAATCCATCATCATAATATCTGGAAAATTATTTTCTTTTGGGGCTGCATGGTGGCTCAAAGCTAAAAGATCCCCAGTTAGGAAGCCTTGGATCTTTCTGCGTGGAGTTTGCATGTTCTCCACGTGCAGCGTGGGTTCTCTCCGGGTTCTCCGGCTTCCTCCCACAAGGTCCAAAAACATGTTGAGGTTAATTGGTGATTCTAAATTGTCCGTAGGTGTGAATATGACTGTCTGTCTCTCTGTGTAGCCCTGTGACAGACTGGCGACCTGTGGGGATGAAGCGGTGTACAGATAATGGATGGATCTTTTTTATTTTTGATGGACTAATTGATGAGGGTAAACCAGGGTGAGATGCCCATGACATTTTAGGCACCTTATTGCTGTTTCCAGCATGATTTGCACCTCAACTCCAGGCTAATTTGTACATTGCACCTCTATGTATAGTGTGTAAAATGGGTGAGCTGCTGGACATCTTGAATTTCCCCAAGTCCATGAATAAAGTATCTATTTATTTATCTTGTTCAAATGAATGCATGAATGAATGAATGAATGAATGAATTCATGAATGAATGAATGAATGAATAAGTAAGTAGATAGGTAAGTACATAAGAAGGCCTCAGTACAAAAATTTAGAGGGTGATTAAATCATAATGGACTACAATTTTGCTTTAATCAAACCAAATGCAAAGCTCATTATCTTATACAAACTTGTTACTTGTTTTTTTTATTTTTTGTGTTTTCAGTTGCTGACTTTAACTGCAGCAACAATGTTACATACCACATAGAAAAGTTTTTTTATTATTATTATTTCTTTGTTGTTGTTGTTGTTGTTTTAAAGTTGTGATTATTGCCAGTCAATTAATCAGATGACAACTTTGAGTGTATCTTTATCCTGACTTGTTCCTGTGGAGCACCAGTTTAGCCTCAAAGCTGGAGGACCAACAAATGCAGTTTCCACTCTTTAAATGAAAGGCTTATGTCCACAAAATACTACTAAACTTTAAGAGATGTATTTTAAAAGCCCTTAGCTCTTCCATATTGGAGGCTGTCCTCCATAACCGTCCCGGTGGTGCTGCTCTTGGTTCCGTACCGGCTCCGTCGTGCTGCGGCTCCCTCTGCTGCTCGCTGCGGCTAACGGCTAACAGGACCTCCTGCGGCGGCACCGCCACGAAGCGACTCCACACGTCCTGGGTGTAAAACTCCACCGTGTGGGCGTTAGCGATGTTTAGGGTCATACACAGAAACCGTTTCACTTCATCTATCCGCCGCTGAATGTCTGTGAGGCTGAACGAGGTGGGTTTCATGTTAAAAAGCTCTCCGGACAGGAACTGAGTGAAACATGCGAGTCTAGAGGTGGAGAGCGACAGCAAGGCATGAGCTGTAGAAAAAAAGTGCTCGATGATTTTACAGGATGTATTTATTTACTGTTTATTTGACATGTACATAAAGAGAAACGCAGCATGCAAATTGTTTTCTTTTCTGACTACAGAACAAGTTGAAGTTTTTATATGATAATACTATTGTAATTACTTTTATTACTACTAATAATAATGCATATAAAAAACAGCACAGTGTCAAAAAAGCTAAAAATATATATTTTTGTAATTAAAAAAAAAAAGACAATTCAGAGGAAATTAAAGCTCAGTTAAGATCATTACAAGTTTTTCAGTAAACTTATATTTTTTTAAGGAATTTTAAGGAGATCACTGACGCAGCCAAATGATTTCCTGAAGCCACTCAGACTGCAAATGTTCTGTCCTGTCCTTTGTTTTGTTTTTTTCTTTCTTTTTAAGGGTGGCTTTAAAGGACAAAGATCAAATGTCCACAACTCCAATAATTTCAGACAGACTGGTATGACATTCAGCCTGCCATATATATATGTGTGGACTGACATGTCCAACAATAGGATTTTGTCCCTGAAATTTTCCGGCAACTTGACCAAGACCTTCAGGAAGAGTGAAAGGAGAGTAAATTTAATGAGAGAAGTTAATGAAATATTCCATGCTCTATGTATACAGAAAGGGCTTATTATGCATACATGACAATGTGTACCAAAAATTCTGCACTTAATCAGTGATCAACAAAACTAAAGGTCATTTACTAAAAATAAAATAAAAATAATGTACTTATTTGTTACCTTGACAAGTTGGGAACAATAATTTGTAAATTATTTATTTAAGCACTTTTACATGTATAAACGTGCTGGTGTGAGAATTTACAAATTTCTTCTTGTTAAATAAACCCACTGAAAAATGTGAGCGCGTGTTCCTCAACCGATTACTCCTGTCTGCCTTGTGTACGTCATCACCCAGCGTCCGTAAAGAGACGGCATGCTGCGTGAAGCTACGGACGAGTTGTAAACAGAGCGGTTTTCACGACAAGACTGAGCTGAAATGGCTCCGACAGATCAAAAAATGAAGAATAAGAAGTTTGCAGCGAAAGATGGCAACTCGAAGAAACCCAAAAATACCGCACAGGGTGTGAAAAAGAAGAGAAAATGGACCCCCGAGAATAAAGTATTCGAAGGCAGCGTTAAGGAAGGTGGGTGTTTTGCTGAACCAACACACGAGCTTGTCAGTTAAGTCAATAAGGAGCAGATTATTTGTGTTTGGTTCATTTGCCTACCTGCACAGAGAAAAAGCAGGCTGTTGTCTGTATGTTTTTGCCAAGATAAACATGATTCTTGACTCATTTTATTATAAAACTCTTAATTCAGTCTTGTTTTTCTTCCTAAGTGATCCTGCTGTCAGCTTTACAACATCAGCCTCTGTGATTTTATTTTTTCTTTTCAGGTCAAGGGTTTGCGTTCAAGAGGAAACAGAAAGTCCAACATGAGTACAACAAGCTGCTGCGGAAAGAGAAGAAGAAGAAGAACCCCGAGTCCACGATGCTGTACAAGGAGGAGTATCCAGAACACCTCCGGCATCTGTACGTGGCAGAGGCAGAGAAGCTGAAGAGTGAAGCCTGGGCGAACAGAGTGAACAGGAGTAAACTGCGAATGAAACGACAGGAGAAAGAGGTGCCTGAAACTGAACCTTCTGCACAGCCGACTGAAGCCGCTGACGCCGAAGTCACGGGCGGATCTGAGCTGATGGATTCTGTGTCTGGGAATCCAGAAGAAACGGCAGCTTCAGAGAAAGAAAGGTGAGTCTGTGGACAGAAAACACTACCACACGAACAAGAGAAATTCTAGATTTGATAGATAGTTGTTCATTTCAGACTGTTTGGGAGTCACAATGTAACTGCTATCATGTTTTTTCCAGTCTACCGATGAGCAACCGCATGAGGAAGAAGATGGAGAAGAAGACATCCTACCAGAAGACCAAAGAGGAATTTGAGAATATGAGGGAAAAGCGGAGAAAGAAGAAAGAGGTGAAGTGTTCCTCTCAGATACTTGTTAGAGTGGCAAACCTCATGCGGCCTGAGTGCCAACTGAAGGACGATGTCACACACGTGCAGTGGATCATTACCACACATACATTCAGCAGAGTAGGCAAATTCTGCCCACGATTTTAAAACACGTCTGTGTAAATTCTCAGGCAGCCAAGTCTTGTTAATCCTAAACGCTTCAGTAGAAGATAACTGGACTTCTCTTTTTGGTTCTTGAAGATGTTACACTTCATGCAGGTCGACTCCTGAGTCTTGTCCTGTGCCATATGCTTGTGGAGCAGTTGTTCACTCTCACTTATATATAGGTCTTCTCATCGCTTGAATTAGAAGGGAAACATCTTCAAAAACCAAAAATTTAAGTACTCTTGCCTTCTATTGAAGCTCTTAAGGTCTTCAATTAAAAAGGCTTCTCAACTTACGCAGATACTGGACGGACTGCCCCATTCAAGCAGTGAAGGCATTGCAACACAACAGGCTAAGACTTGATGACAAGCAGCAGTGCAGTCTAAATTTGTTCAAAGAAGTTGCTGCTTAATGTATTGCACCTTAGGCTGTACATATATTCAGTTCTCTGCTGTTCCCACTGTTTGGATCTCTGTGGAATGTGGTTCAAACCTCATGTTGACACTTATTGCCACAGGTGCCACCAAAAAGGGTGAACTATAGATCTTAGAGTTTGCCACTTTAACTTATTTTAAGAAAAATCTGATCTTGAAGACTTCAGATCAAATTGCAGTCTGGCTTTCTGCAGACAAATCATCATTTTGTATTTGTTTTTCTTGTTCCAATTCCAGGAGTTCCTGAAGAACAAGCAGCAGAGAGAAGAAGCCATTCAGAAGTACAAACAGAAAAAGATGGAGACGTATCAGATGCTGAGCAAAAAGACTAAAAAAGGACAGCCGAACCTGAACCTCCAAATGGAATATTTACTTCAGAAGATCCAAGGACCTGGGAAATCCTGAATCAGACCTGATGATGGAAAATGCTGTTTGAGTGTCCTATTTAAAACCGAATGAGGTGCGTCAGGATTGGGCCTTTACTGTGGTAATCCGACACCAAACTTTCACATCTATAATGAGAGTTTTTTTGTATTGTGGTCCATAAAAGCTAATGTTGCAGGTCATTTTAATCCCACACCACAAGGTGGCATTGTAACATATGAAGAGACCAGAGAGGAGGCTGATGCATTTTTATGAATTAATGCAATATTCTTGTAAAGTGCTTTTATTTTGAAACGGGCAATAAATACTACTAAAAGCAAATGGACATAACTGAAACTAATCTTTCATTAATTTAGCAACAGACAAGTTTTTCTTTTATTAGCAAGTAGACACGCTTATAAATCTGTAGTTTTGCTTTTCAGTTTTGATGTTAATGTGCAAGCGGTTTCTAATAAAACTGTCAGTAAGACATTAACACTCAAGATACAGATGTAGTGTTGAGTCTACTGCTGCATTGATAAAGAGGGTTCACTCTGCAGCCCTCTCTGTGTGGCAGCAGCGGGTGGACTCAGCCTGAAAAGCCTCAGGCCGCTTCCTCATGACATCACATGGTTGCAGAATGACTTGTTCAACAATCGTCTGTGAGGCAAGACTTCCTAAACACCGAGCGCGCTCACTGCTCCGCTCACACTGAGAGCGGATAAAGGCTCCACTTTCTTCTGCATATCATTTGGTAAAAAGGTAAGACCTGTGTTTTTGTTTGTGGTTTATTTAAAGATCCAGTTTGTAGTTTATTGTGCATCCAGGGAAAGTTGCAGTGAAGGTTTCAGAGAAAGAATTTGCCTTGAGGTTTGTAAATGCTGCAAAGGAAGGCCGAAACTTTTCTTTTTTTTTTGAAAGATTAAAAGCATCTCTGACTAAAATTGTACTGACAAGGGTAAGGCTTACATCAGCCTGTAGATACAAGGAATTTATGTGTTCAAAAAGCTCTTGAGGGCAGTCAGAGGAGGGCCACGTTTTGAGTCTTTTTAATCTTTTAGTTCACTGCCAAGCTGAAAAATCTCAACCACTGAAACAAACTTCTCCTTGTTGACGCGTCTCATCTTCAGAATCTGCCTCGCATTTCGCTTTCTGCAGACATATTTAGAATCTTTGACGAGACAAACTGCGGCTCAGACAAGACGACACCTCGGAAACCTTTGGTGGAGACACAAAGTTGTGATGAAAACAAACAAATAAATAAACCACTAAAAGCGCAGATGGGGTACATGATTGTGAATTCATGTGTGTGTCTGCTGCTTAGCTGTTGCCGGGCATTATGCCGTCATGTGTTCTGTATGGCGGGGTATTAAGATAATCCTTTACACTGTGTTTACATACTTTTGTGTGTGGCTTGTTTCTGGCTTATTAGAAAAGAGAAGTGCTGCATAGTTGTAACAAGTGTGGTTGCATTAATGCTACTTGTGTAACCGCGTTTAGCTTTCTTAAAGTTGTGTTTGTTTCTGTTCATCTTATAGGAAGCTGCACGCAGTTTTTTGAGCGTGCATACAAGCCTCCGAGTTATCAGCCATCTCATCATCTGATGCTGCTTCCTGCCTCTGTCGTCATGGCGACTGTAAGGGCCCCAGAGGACTGGATGCAGGGCCAGTGAGGAGGATTCCTCTCCTGAGTGTTACCGAGGTTTTTACCACGCACAGCGTCCTTAAAAAGAAGAAGTCTCGGGACATGGAGGACAAGGAGGAGGGCAGGGTGAACGGATTTGGACTGAGAGTGGGCAGGAGGGGCTCCGAGTGGGGTCGCATCGCCCTGCTGGACAAGACTAAAGAGTTCTTCCAGACTTGCGACGTGGAGGCGAAGGGCTTCATCACCCGCACTGACATGAGGGTTAGAGTTGGAGGCTGTGTGTGCTTGGATTTTTAAAATTTGGGTGCTGTGTTTGAGAAGAGAGATCTCACTGAGCTAGTATTCAGCTCATCATTAATCATTTGATCTATAAAATATCAGCAAATAATTGAAAAAGAAGTTGCCTATTTGAGATTCTTGAAGCTTTAGGTGATGTTTTCTGGAGGTTTTTTTGCTCACCAAATCTTAATAGGACCACAAAAAGCAAACACTTTACATTTTAGAGCATATTTTTTGACATTTTTCTTTAACAGTGGCTTAAACTTGAATTAATTTGATAAATTGCTGCAGCCCACTGATTCTCCCATTATTAATCTTCCATTTAAAGCATGCAGAGTGGCTTGTTTTCCTCTGCGCGCTCGCTCTTTAACGTCCCTTATTCTTCTCTGAAAATGCACGGATGATCCACGAACGCATTAAGCCTCCGCTGAGAAGAACAATAGGTCATGCTTTTACCTGAGGCGCAATTTTGTGTCCGGTGCAGCCGCCATAGCGGTGAATAGGAAAGCAGAAAACACTTTACTGTCAATTCTGGGATTTTTTTATTTATTTATGTATTTCCATTTTATATTACCATTGTTAAAGAAGCACTTCACCCACTCAGCGCACTTGAACAGCCGCAGAAGTGGTGGAGTGGATACATGTTCCTATAATTCAGCTCAAACACACACATCATTTCACAGACTGAAATGAAGAACGCAGGCAGGAACAATAACACGGCAGCCTCTTTAAAGCTCTAACTACATCTGAGCTGCGTTGTCAGTTAATTAGGCCGGGGCTCTTGTGAGCATCATGCTTTTTGTTGCTGTTGTGCGTATTGAGGGTTTCCAAGAAAAACTACCGTACGGTGACTCATAAAAGCAGCCACTTGGTGCCACTGTTTGTTCAACGCAAGCTGCGTTTGAGTTCTAACAATACAGCGGGCAGATTTAAAGCACAAACTCATCATGTGATGTGTGTTTATTTCAGTTGTTCGGCAATAAAAGCAACTTTAAATAGCTTCTAATCTTTCTGAGCTGCGTGCGTGAGGCTGAGCTCAGGACAGCAGCATTTTAAAGTAATGTCTGTTTGTGTCTTTCTCCCGACAGAGGCTCCACAGAGAGCTGCCTCTGTCTGCAGAGGAGCTGGAGGATGTGTTTGACTCTCTGGATACGGACCGCAACGGTTACCTCACACTGGAGGCATTCTCCTCTGGATTCAGTAGGTTTACAGCCGTCGGAGGCCTGTAGCTCCTCACGCTTCAAACAGCTTTGTGTTTGTCCAACGCGAAACAAATCACTGTCAAATGTGGTGTCAAGTGGATATAAAATAACTTTTATCGCTTTCATGGAAAATAATACGCATGTTAGCCTACTGAGTTTGTGTTTTTAAAATCTATAGTCGGTGTAATTTCAGTTACACAGGGGCATTAAAGGGGAATATTGAGCAAAGATTTATGTGACTCTAACACGAATAGATAAGACTTGACTCAGATAAAGTGTGCATGATATTGGTAAACACCTAAATGCACTGAAATGTACATTTTATTACTTATGATTATGAAGAAGACGAATATATGTTGGATTGTTCACCTGTTCCTTTCATTTTATATCATTACAGACTTTCTTTCATTACTTTGTAGTTGCGCCCCTGTCCTAAACAGAAGATAATGTTTTGGAAATTTACTTTCCTGCTTAAAAACTCAACTCCACATGCTATTAAAATCTTCATCCGGCTCTCTTTGGATCAGGTCAGTTCCTGCACGGTCGGAGAATCTCTGTGACTGACGACCAAAATCAGGCCCCTGGCCCCATCTTTAGGGCGAAGGAAGCCCTTTACCAGAGCCAGTGGGAAGCCAAGCTGTCGGGGGTTGAGGACGAGGAGGAGAGGCACTTCTGTATGCTGCTGGAGAGCCTGGGAGCCAGTAATGTGTTTGAGGAGTGAGTGGAATCACTGCGAACCCCCTCGTGTGCATGTCCGCTGTTGTTGTTGTTGTTGTTGTGACTCATTCCTGATGGTGGTTAATTTAACTCCTCTCCCTCTATGTGGTCTGTAATCTGCAGTCCGGGTGAGGTGCGAAGCCTCTGGGCCGAGCTCAGGCGAGACGAGCCTCACCTCCTGTCTAATTTTGAGGAGTTTCTGGCCAGAGTGACCCACCAAATCAAAGAGGCCCACCAGGAAAAGAAGGAGATGGAGAGCGCCCTCCAGAGGTACAAGAAAGAGCTTCTTTGTGTCGTTTTCTCTTCTGTCAAGCTTTTGATTGCGTTTAGGTGTGAAAAACGGGATGTAAAAAGACAATAAATCTAACCTATAGTTTGTAAAACAGAGAATGAAATAGAAACTTACAGACTGAAGAAACACTGTAATGTGGCGACAGTGTCTATGTATCGTGGGTGTAAAAGGCCACATTTCTCAAGTGGTTCCCACACTTAAAACCCTTAAGAAGTGCACTTTGTATACCATAAAGCAAATATCCTTATTAGCCACCTAAGGAATCCGTGACATAACGGTGCGTTTACATGATGGCCCCGTGCAGCCCGAGAGCGTTCGCATGGATTTACCTGTAATTCCCTATAGAACAACCCCTTTATCCGTGTCAAATGACCGCTAATCTGGAGGCGCGCTCTCCGAGTCCGACCACCTTCTGCTGCAGCGGAAACCCATTAACGCTATGCCCAAGTGGACAGAACAGCTATCATACATCTCCAGTACATTGCTCTCATGATGCAGAGCAGCACGCTTGATGCTTATTGAGATAAGTTGTCTGTGAGATGCAGGTTTTGTTTTTTTTCCCCCCATTGCACTGTGTGACAGCCTGTTGTTCCTCCAGACTCTACTAATTGGCTGTTTGGGTCTTAAGAGTTGTCAGAGGGAATGTAAATACCACTCAGTGTTGGTTAGGAAATGAAGCTCTGTTGCTGTTTGTGTGCAGGTATTTCTATGTATTTACACGTACGGAGGGAATAATGCAAGCTTAAGCTCAGTCTAGACAACAGTGCTGCTCTGTTTGCGGATATTATATTATGTCGATTCACTGTTTAATCACGATACGTCTGCACAATACATCTGCATATATATATATTTACAGTTGGAACCAGAAGTTTACATACACTGTATAAAAAGACATGAAACCTTTTTTTCTTCTCACTATCTGACATTAAATCAGAATTTCCTGTTTTCGGTCAGTTAGGATGACAAAAATTATTTCTATTTGCTAAACGCCAGAATAATGAGAGAGAGAATTATTTACTACTTTCTTCAAAGTCAGAAGTTTACATACACTAAGATGCCTTCAGACTATTTGGAAAAGCCCAGATGATGATGTCATGGCTTTGGAAGCTTTTGATAGGTTAATTGACAACATCTGAATTAACTGGAGGCACACCTGTGGATGTATTTTAAGGCACACCTCAAACACACTGCTTCCTTTAGTGACAACATGGAAAATCTAAAGAAATCAGCCAAGATATCAGGAGGAGAATCGTGGACCTCCACAAGTCTGGTTCATCCTTGGGTACAATGTCTAAAGGTTCCACGTTCATCTGTTCAAACAATTATACTCAAGTTTAAACATCATGGGAATGTGCAGCCATCATACAGCTCAGAAAGGAGACAGTTCTGTGTCCCAGAGATGAAGTGTTTTGGTGTGAAATGTGCGTATCAACCCCAGAACATAAGCAAAAGACATTGTGAAGATTTTGGTAATCCTAACTGACCTAAAACAGGAAAAGTTTAGTCTGATTTAATGTCAGACATGAGAGGAAAAAAAAGGTTATGTGTCTTATTATACAGTGTATGTAAACGTCTGGTTTACATAATGTACAGTGTCACTGGTAAGCAGACGTTTTTTTCTCAATTCACCAGCTGCCTGTTTGGTTCAGTTGCTGAACTTTCCTCAAACTTAATAACAAAACAGAAATTGTTAGTCTTGTCTTCAGTCGAGGAGCACTTTCACACAGAATTAAGCCAAATGCCAAAACAAATTGAGTATTAGAGGATTCTGGCCTTTTTTGTTGACAATCAATCGAAGATGGTTGTTTTTAAAAATTACATCCTTTTGTTTTTGGAGGATCTACACAGAATCAGAAAGGTTTTATTGCTAAGTAGGTTTTTACATACAAGGAATTTGACAGGAAACAGTGGATTAAAGTTGGCAGGAAGTGTTATGTGACGAATAAGAAGCAATAAATAAGAAGTCAAATTAGCAGTAAGTGTAATCAAAGGTTTATAAATCCCAAAAACTAATAGAAGTACTTTCAGTGTGCAGCAATGTCCAACTTAATTGCTTGAATATGTGCAAATTACACCATATATAATGTAAACATCAGCGGTCCATTATGGTAATTTTCATCTCTAGATCCCTCTAATGTGCTCTATGCTGGTATTAGTCCTCCAGGTATCTAAAAATGCAACCAGCAGGATCACTATTGTTCAAGTAAACAAGATTGCTATCTCATGCTGGCTTCTCCACACTGGCTCCCTGTTTTCTTTCACACTGGCTTTAAAATATTACTGTTGACTTTAAGGCCTAACATGATTAAAGCCATACCTATATAAAGGAGCTGTGTGAGCCTGGAAACCATCTGAGATCAGCAGATAGTGGTGTTCTGGTTCTCTCTATTCTACTCTCTACCTCTCTTGATATATTTACCCATGTCTCCAGCTCTCTCTGTAACTCTGTCTCACTTCCTTCCAGTTTGTTGGAACATTGAAGAAACCTTGAAATTCTTGTGATAAAATGGATCTTTGCCAGTTTTATTCCCAACCAGGCCAACTGTTTCTAAACAACATTTGGTTTTTGTTGATGTTTTTGGTCCAGCTTTCAAATTCCTCTCATCCCATCAACCTCCTTATTTTTATTATTTACATCTGGTTGGTTCCATTTTTTAAAAATGTACCAAAAGCCAAACAAGGCAAGTATAAAGCTGTTATCAGTCAAATAAACTTCATGTTTTTGAACAACTTGTAAAATGATTCAATGTTAAGTTTAAGGAAAACTTTGCATTATTAGCCACAATGCCAAAAAAAATAACGAAGTGGAAACCATTTAAAAGCATTAGTCCTCTTAACTTAACATGGAATTAATGTAGAAAATTGTTGAAGTTGTATTAATTCATAAGTGCAAGTTGAAACAGGAAGGAATTCTCTGTATGTTTGACGAGATAAAGAGAGTTTTCTTGAATGGAGAACGTAACATAGTGACTTGTTTTAACGAGAGCATCGAGCTGACGCAACAAATAGTTAAATGGCTTGTTTAACTTAAATTTTTAAGTTGAAACAAATGCTGTCTTCAAGCTGAGATTACTTCAAGTTTTCAAGCAGCAGTTGAATTTAAATTTTTGAGTTGAACAAACTTAAAATATTTTTCAGTTTTCAGATCTCAACAGGTGACTAAATCCATCACTGTTTTTAAATCTCTATTTGAAATATGCTTTTTTCATGTCTGTCATTTTTAATTTCTTTTTTGATTAGTTATTGTTGCTTGAATCCTTTTGTGAAGCAGAAACACCTTGGTAGCATTGGTAAGAAAAGTGCAATATAAAGCTCATTATACATATCTAACATCCAGTGCTGTTCCTTGTTGCAGGAAGGCTGCGACACATGACAGCGAGATCCGACATTTGTACGAAGAGATGGAGGCACAGATCAAAAATGAGAAAGACAGACTGCTCCTGAAGGTACAAGAGCTCAACACCTACCGACAGCACCTTCTCGCAAGAAAAGACAGCACAGATATTGTTCCTTCTTCACCGACTGTACAGGAAGATATTCATGCAAATGTGACTCCAGGAGACTATTTTCAAATTCCAAAAAGTTTCTCTGTACTCACCTTAAAGTTGAACATATGCAAGCTGATTTTTGTGACATTACAACTAGTCTGGAAGGCAGCTGTGAAATGTTCAGTTCAACACTGTTTGCATACTAATAGATTCAGGATTTTTCACGGAGGCAGAAGGAGTAGGATGTAATGTCGAGAATGTTAAATGATACAATTAAAGCTTTTTGTGGAGGCTTTCAAGCAGCATTTTATGCCTCCAGAGAGGCTCTTTAACCTCAATTATATGCTACTTGGTTTTTTTCACACTGTGACCTCTGACCTTTTAAAGGACTCTGAGCGTCTTCAGCTGCGCAGCCAGGACCTGGAGCACCAACTGGTTTCGAAGGAGAAAGAGCTGGAAAAGCTTTTCCAGAAGCAGAAACGGGTGAGCGACACATCCTAACAACATCCATTCACACTAGATGTAGATGCTAGACAGACAAAATATATATATATTCTTGTTCTGAGGTGCAAACACAGTGCAAGAAAATGCTAAAACATGAGCCAACAGTTTGATTTCAGCCCAGGTCTTTGGCTACATGTCATCTACTCTCTCAACATGTAACAAGAAAATAATGATTAGATCCATTACTATGGAAAGAAACAGAGCACATAATTTCTATAAAGTCAGAACGTGTGCGACTACAGTAAAGTATTAATCCTTGTGTCATGGGGACAGGATTTAAGCAGCTGTTCCGTTTCCCCCGCACATATCCTCTAAGCACACTCGCCTGGCATTAGCGTAGTTTCATTCCTGTGAACGTCTCCCTCTCCAGTTAGAGCTCCAGTGCCACGAGCTGAGCAGCGAGAAGCAGGAGAGCCACGTGGAGAACGTCAAGCTGAAAATGACCAACGATGAACTATCCAGAGCCCTGGAGAGCACCAGCCAGGAGCTGTCGCTGGCCCAGGAGCAGCTGGCCATGCTGCAGGAGCAGGCCGCCCGGCTGCACCAGGAGAAAGAGATGTGGGTATCATTGTTTGTATTCACCATGCTTAAGATGCCGGAGTGTTTCCTCGCTGCAGTTAATTCCTAGCTGTGTCAGAAAAATGCTTAATCCTGAATTACCTAAACCATAACTCAAGCTTTAAGTTAATATTAACCCTTAAACTGAGAAGTTAGTGTTTTTGTGTCATTCTTTGTTGTTTCAGGGAAATGTACAGAGTAACTGAAGGACTGCAGAGGGAGAAGCAAAGTCTGATGAAGCAGCTCGACCTCCTCAGGTATGACAACAACAATCTATGACCATTTGTTTTGTTCTAGAAACATTCTGAGAAAGTTCTGCAAAGTTCTAGTAATGCTTTCAGTGTTATCTGTTCTTTTAGTTCCCAGAATGTTGCTCCCAAAGGCAGGATAAAGCACTCTAAGAAATGTTCCTAAAACATTTTTTGAATGTTGCTTCAAGCACCTTCTTCCCTTTCTATTGTGTAACATTGTGGGAACGTTTTCATGAAAGAACATTCTCGCAATAAAGCAAGCAAAATGTTCTACCTTTGTTTATATAGCAAATGATAGGAAAACATTCTGTTTCTGAGGCCTGGATAACTTCTGGAAAACAGTTTCAGAATGTTGGTTTGACAACGTTCTTCTTTTGTTATCTTGTAACATTAACTGACAACATCCTCCAAACATCCTCTCAATGATGAAATGTTCTGTTTTAGTTAACTTTTATCCTCATAGGAACATTTTTTAAATAAAAAATAATCTTAAAACATTCTTCAAATATTAAGATGAAATGTTTTCTTTCAAACATTATCAGAACTTGTAGGTAATATTAGCCAATGTTGACCTGGGGGGGTGCATTTCAAAGCTGGCTAGTAGTTGCTTTTAATCTTTTTGGCTTCTTGTTCAGTCCTAATTGTCAATCCTCACAAATCCAAACTAAGTTGAAGGATTTGCAAAGACTCAAGAGGAGCAGATAGAAACACTTTGAAAATATTCTGTCCTTCTCTTCTCTTTAATTTCTCAATCTTCCCAGAGAGATGAACAAACATTTAAAGGATGAGCGAGACATATGCTGCGGTGTGGTAAGTGAATTCTGTTTTATGTAACTGCATTGAAGTGGTGTCTAGAAACCTTGTGTAACACGTCCTCTTTGTTTAAACAAGCCTCGAACTTCACTCAGAAAGAAGCAGAAGCAGAGAGCGGGCCTTGCCAACATATTTGATGACGCCAGCCAACCGGCAAAAAGGTGATTAATTTATCATGACAGTGCTTTTTTTTTTTTTTTAACACCACTCACCCCAGTCAGATTATTTCCTCTTCAGTGTGATGTGAAAATCATGTATCAAAAGAGGAAAAACAGAGGATATTTGATTCTACACACTTACAAAAATTAACATTCTAGTTTAAATCGAAAGCATTTGAAGGCTTCGGCCTCCAGATTTTCATCTCAGTCAAGTGATGCGATACATCCTCTGTTTCTCCTCTGTTCCCAAAGAGCCCCACTGTTGGTGGACGGGTCCTACCAGTCTCTGGAGGCCTTGCCTATAGAGCATCTTCAAATCGTGTTTGTTGCTTCCTCCTCCTGCAGTGAAGATGACACCACCACCAACACCACCAAACCCTCCCCTCCATCCTCCAACACTCCTGCCAGCTCCCCTGCATGCCAACAGCGGCCTTCGGTGAAGAAGAACTCAGGCTTAGCCAATGGGTACACTCAACCCAAAGCGCAGGAAGTGAAGGCAAAGGCCAAAAAGCCGCCCAGCAAAATGGCCACCACCAAGCGAGTGATGGGGAAGGAGAGAGAAAGATCAAAGAAAGTGGAAATTGAGAAGAAGGCGGGGGTAGAAGAGGAGGTGTTGGACGCCCCACCGGACGGGTGGCCCCTCCGCCGGGTCATCTCCATCGAGGAGGACCACCTGCCCCACCTGCTTCTCGGTGGACCCCAGCTCTTGATGCACCAGCTCAGTGAGGAGGAGGATGATGAGGAGGAAGAAGAAGAAGAAGCGCAGAGTGACATTGAATCCAGTGTCGTCATGGCCACAGATGTTTCTGCTACACTACCCTCCAGTCAGATCCCGGTGTTGAAGGATGCTTCCCCTGCGAGGAAATCCCGCTTTACCCGAACGAAGAAGACACCAGCGTTTCCAAGAGGGCAACCCGTCGGGAAGGAGACCCAGCAAGTACGTCGACAGCTTTGGAGCTACGATTACATTTTGATTTGAAATGAACTACAATGTCTTTGTCTCTGTCTTCCTCAGAAGGCCAAAGAAGGAGCACTGTTTGCCCCGGACCGTCTGTTTAAGGTGGTCCTGGTTGGAAACTCCAGCGTAGGCAAGACGTCCCTGCTACGCTCCTTCTGTGAGGGCCGTTTCCACCCTTCCACGACTGCCACTGTGGGTGAGAAGAAAGACATTGTGATTGTGTTGTGCACAGTGAAACGATCAGGGAGCTGTTTTTGACCAAATCTGACCGGCGTGAGTGTGTTTGTAGATGCGAACACAGAAGATCGCAGGGCGACTTAGCATCACATGAAAGGGCTTGTGAAGTCACACTGCCTGTCTAAGAGCCCTGGCACACATTGTACAGCAGATTATGTCACTTCTGATGAATTTTTCCTCCTTGCTTTCATCTCTCCCAATCCTCGTTTGAGCCTTGTTATCGCCACCTCGTTTCCTTCTTCTCTTCTGAAACGGGCCGCAGTCGGTATCACACTTAGACCCCCTAGTGGCCATTCATGTCATTGATCCTCCGTCCAAAAATACTTAAACTCGAGAACTCATTCACGCAGCAAAACTAAACACAAATCTTCTTATCAGGTATTGACTACAGCGTGAAGACGTTAACCCTGGATAATATGCAGATAGCCATGCAGCTTTGGGACACTGCGGGTCAGGAGAGGTGAGTGATGGAATAGTTACATTAACCCCACCTTGTACCTTGTAAATGCAATAATAATAGTTTGAAAAATATAGTGTCCTGACAGTTTTTGAACATAGTTTTGCAGAATTGTTGAAATCTATCTGCAAGCGTACTGTAATATACTTAAATATCAATAAGTATAATAGAACTACATAAGATTCCTCCACTAGTACTTTCTTTTATGTGACTAGGTATGTGTGTTTTCTAAAAAAACATTATAAATACACCACATGATACTTTATAGTGTGCATATCGTATATTTTATAGTATGCTTTTTCAATACAGTATTACTGGAGTAGTATTTAGGTGCACATACATGATGTATACTAATAGTTGTGAATGTGCTAAAACAGGTACCGCAGCATAACCAAGCAGTTCTTCCGTAAGGCAGACGGTGTGGTGGTGATGTACGATGTCACGGTGGAGGAAAGCTTCAAGGCGGTGCAACCGTGGCTCACCAATGTCCAGGTTTGACCTCTGACCCATGAAGTCCTCTGTAACTTTTCATAGAGCTGCTTATCTTTTCTATGTGGCCTTTTTTTATTTGTATTACCACCTGTAATGGAGCTCGACCCATGCTGAATGCTAAAAGGCGAGGGTTGCATCGACTTTAGCCTTGACTCCCCAGATGCAGGTTGAAGGTATAGGCTTGCCATTGGCCTCGCATTTCACGCAGCTTTCTCCTCCACAACAACAACAACCTCCAGGCAGCAACGTACACGCTGAGAATTTCAAGTCTTGCCAGAAATTTCGATTGTGCAATAGCAGCGCTGATATTTTATTTTTATTCATTTATTTTCGGTTAATTATGTACTTCAGTGGCAGCGTTCACCTCCCTGCATGCAAATGTTACATCAAACAATCCTCCTGCCGCTGTTTTGACTGTCGGTGTGTCCTTTTCTGAGCCTCATCCAAGACAACTGCGACTGGTTTGAAGAAAAACAAACGTGCCCTTGCAGAGTTATGCAGAGTGATTGCAGTCAGACCATTCTACATGGCGCTCTTGTGGCTATTCTTTATTTAAACACTCTCTTCTGTCTGCCTCCTGTGTTTTTATCTTGTTAACATGTCAATATTTTTCAAACGCGAGAAGGAATATAATGAGCGAAGTAAGCAGTCAGTGCTATGGATGAGCATTTCCACCTTGACAACGCAGTGTGCTGATGACAAACGTGAATTAAGGGGTTCCATATGTAACGAGCCGCAGGAACCAGTCCCATCAGCTTGCTGGGTGGAGCTTTCTGTGTCATCATTCCTCCTCAGGAGAAAGATTTTATGGCTGAATTACTCCAATTATACGACTTGCCGTGGTGTGGTGCAAAGTAATTTTAGAGTGTTTGAGCACAGTTGTTGGCAGGCGATGGCTGGAGATTGTGTAGATCTGCACATTCTAGAGGGAGCAACAGTTTAGCGATACATAGAAGACATCTTATGATATGAAGATGAGATTTTAGATGTCCGTGAAGATTGTTGAAGACTGTTTGACAATTTGATTTATTTGATTGATTTAATTTTTATTTCTGTCTCTCTCTCTCTCTCTATGATATATATATCTACATCCATATATATATATTTATTTATTGTGTGTTTTATTCCTTATTCTTATTTATCTTATTATTATTGATTTGGTGTGGAACAGGCACACAACACATTTCACTGCACGTTATACCATGTATAACTGTGTTTGTGACTAATAAAAGACCTTGAACCTTGAATCTCAGTCATCCAGGTCATGGTTATTCTTGTAGTTTGATCGTAGGAAATGGACTTGCTTGAATTCCTTGAAGACGTTTCACCTCTCATTCAAGAGGCTTCATCAGTTCTGACTGACTAGCTGGGAGATCCAGATACTTACATCCTTAAGGAGCCATTTAAACTTGAAGTCTGCGAAGGTTCTCAGTCATCCAGGTCAGGGTTATTCTTGTAGTTTAATCGTAGCAGCTGGACTTGCTTGAGTTCCTTGAAGACGTTTCACCTCTCATCCAAGAGGCTTCATCAGTTCAAGTTTTAATGGCTCCTTAAGGATTTAAGTATCTGGATCTCTCAACTAGTCAGTCAGAACTGATGAAGCCTCTTGGATGAGAGGTGAAATGTCTTCAAGGAACTCAAGCAAGTCCTACGATTAAACTACGAGAATGAGATTTTAGAGGTTTAATCAATGGCCAGAAAAACAACCTCATTCTGTCTCTTGCAAGTCCCCCAATTTGAATGAGGTACAATACTAATTTCCTGGAGTAGTCCTCCAAGAACACTAACCTGCTCTTTGTTTTCTCAGGAAGCAGCAGGAGAGGGCATCCCTGTTCTCCTGCTGGGCAACAAAATGGACATGGATGGAGGCAGGGAGGTGTCATTTAAAGATGCTGAGCAGCTGGCTTATGTAAGTCTAAATTATAGCTCATGGATAATTGATCAGGACGCTTTTTATGTGCTTTTATAGCCTTCCGCTGAATTGCTTTCGCACGCTTGCTTTCACACAAACTCACAATAAATGTAATGGAGTGGTTCCTTGTCAGTGCTTTTAAAAAAAATTACTTGTGTTGTTGATTCTGTACATTTGATTCAGTTTTAATCAAACACGACGATGACATTGTTGCCACCGGCGTGTCTGACTCATCTTTTGTGGGAATGTCCTGTGTAGGAGAACAGGGTGATGTTCTTTGAGGTCAGCGCCTACACAGGCAAGAATGTGACGGAGTCGCTGACACACCTGGCCAGGTAAGATCCCCACTGTGGTGTGTGTCAGTGTGTACAAACACACCAAAGCGACGCACTGCACACCAGTCATCAGATGCATGATGATAACTCCACTGGCTCATGCAGTGGCCTCTCTCTTTTTCTATCTTTGTGTTTGCTCAGAGTGTTAATGGAGCAGGAGGACAGAGTAAGAGACACGACAGTCAGCCTCAGCGCTCAGCCTGTAAAGAAGAAAGCCTGCTGCAAGTGAGCACATACTGACCAGGAAAAAAAAAGTGGGGGAAATCTACCTGTATGCTCAATTTACTGAGTTCTGTCCCTTTTGGACAGTGGACATTTACAGTCTTTTTACAGTCTTGGGTGGCAACCTGATGGTAGAGCGGTTGGGGCCAATACAACATGGGTGCTAACGCCCTCAACGGTGAGTCCTTGATTTGAATCCCGGCCACCCAGATTATTTGCTGCATCGTCCCCCTGCTCTCTTCCCTCGTTTTTTTCCAGTCACGTCCTACAGCCTTGGAAATTAAAGGCACAAAAATGCCCCAAAACAAGCACTTCAGGAACAAAAATTACATTCTTGCTGGTGTAAAAGCCTCTTTCTGAATGCGTGCCTTTTAACAAGCAGTCCCATGCTGAAGTACATGCTGAAGTCAGCATGAAGATCTGTACTGCCTACGTGAACAAACTGCTGTCAGCCTTAAGTAATGAAGCTCAGGTTCTGGTTTTTACTGCCTGCCTGCAGTAAAAACCAGGAGCTGCACCATTCCCTGTAAATAATGCTGTGTTTTCAAATCACAGTAGTACTGTCTATAAGATTAAAGTATATTCTGTATAATAATTAGTTCACCCAAGAGAAAAAATCGTAAACATACTGTAGCTTCTCCACAAGTGAACATTAGCTTTCAGGTCCTAATTCTTCTGCAGTTCTCTGGGGTGGTACACTCATATGTTATGTCACAAAATCGAGTAGTTTTAAGTGGAAAATCATTGAAAATGAAAAATCCGACTTGATTCTTTGACATTTTATTCATCTTCACGTTCAACTGTTTTTTTTTTTTGTTTGTTTGTTTCTTTTTTTTCATATTCTTTGATCATCTCATCTCCAAAACACGTGGTACATGACATATTGCATCTGTGTTTGTTACTGTTCTGAGGCATTGTTCTGTTTTATTCTGGCACCAGTTGTTCTGATTTCATCATCAATTAAAAAGAAATAAATGACATTTCACATCTTTCTGAAATCAGTGAAGCCAAAAAAAAAACAAAAACAAGGTTCCACATGCAATTATTAAATAATAAAATAAAACACAATTAATTACTGTACTTTCTATACAATTATACAGTTTTGCAATCAATCTGAACAAATCACCAAAAGAAAAAAAAGAAATACTGTTAATGACTGTGCTGTGGCCTTCTGAGCATCACACAGATCAATGTTTTTCAATTAGTTCTTCTAACCATGTAAAGACTCCTAAATGCTTTTCATTTCATACTCATGTCACACTCCAAATAATTAAATTCCCAGTGAGGGTTAAAAAAAACAAAAAAAAAATCAAGTTAACATAGGATGTTACATTCAACCATGTGCCCATCAAGTTGGTACAGGTGACGGCACTATTGCTGATAGATACTTGCCGATTCTGATGACATCACTTAGATGCTGGCTTGATGGCATCCAATCAGATGCATCTGTTTGCCCTCCCTGGCCACCTGGAGTGCTTGTTGGAGAGCCTGTGCCCTCCCCCTCCCCAGGTGTGTCCAGAGGGGCTGAGGGTCGGTCCACACCAGGAGGGCCTTGTTCTTCTTCCTAACGCATTTTATAGTCGTGGGATATGGCGGCCTCACATAGTTGTCCTTTGAAGTCCAGCTCCAGGGTGAACTCCAGGTCTCGCTGCAAAAAAAAATATGACAAAATGAGAAATGAATAGAAGATACGTTTGTAGAAAATCACTCAGTTAAACAAAGCCTTCACACAAAACCAAAAAAAAAAAAGTCGTGGGGGAGCCTGTTAGCTGTGTCCAACAATGTCCGCCTACCAGCACTTCTAAAGCTCACTAATTAACACATTGTATATTTAATCCACACACACTGAAAAGAAACTGAAGCGTTCGAACAACCATTTCTAGTTTTGCGGGGGTTTTGTGTTGGTAATTTTCTTGCTGGATCCTAAAATCTGTTTCTAGTTTTTGTGTGAAACTAAACTAAGTGGCTGCTATTTCTGGCCTTAGATTTAACAGACAAATGTGAAAATTGAACCAATTATCTTATCTGGCCCCAAATGTTTCACTTTAAAGGTCCCATATGGGGAAAATCTATTTCAGTGTGATTCGTATGTCTTAAAAACTTGGAGGTTTGAAGTCCAATTTGTAAAAATATGAAGATGCTCACTCCTCTAGATGACCCTCAAGTGAATAGCTTCAGTTTTAGAAACCAGTCAGAATTTTGCGCAGTTGTTAAGTAGGAACTGAGTAATCGGTAGTCTAGTCATCAAATTAGAAATATGCGCAGTCCTGCCTTTTTGCAATCCTTCCACTACTTCTAGGTGAGCCATTTAGAAAGAGCCCTACAGTCCACCAGGTTTTTTTCCCTTGAGAGCTAGTTCTGCTAACTCTAATACATCTCAGGCACAAGCAAAGCACATCAAATGTTCTGCTGTTGGCTGCAAGAGTGAACAAAAGTTTCCATGCACTCCCAGCATTTGACCAGCATTTTATTTTTGATGGCAATTTCACCACAACAATAGGACAATACCTTTGCATGTGTGTCTAAGTTCCAGGACTGGTGTCACAAAAGCTATATCTCAAACCCAAACTACAAACTACGAGTTTTCCCCTTCAGATGATCAACCAGCACGTCTACAAAGAGATCCTGTGGCGTTTGCTTCATTCAAGAAGAAGCGAGAGTTGTGGCGGGACAAGTCGTGGTGCTTCACCGCCTGCTCACAATGCCCTGAGCATCCGACAGTTCCTGGCTGAGAAGAACATCTCCGTGCTGGAGCAACCTCCCTAGTCGCCCCACCTGGCTCCGTGGGATTTTTTCCTCTTCCCCAAGCTCAAGGGGGTCATCAAGGGGACCCGTTTTGATGATGTGGACGACATCAAGATGGCTGTGACGACAGAGCTGCGAAGGATCCTGGAAGAATCTTTTCCGGAGTGCATGGCAACGTGGCGGAGAAGGCTGGGAGAGTGGTTAGACTCCAGGGGGATTACTTGGAAAGGGAAAACTTGTAGTTTGGATTTGAAATCTATCTTTTGTGACACCAGTCCTGAAACTTTCTTGACACACCTTGTTGTCAAATGTTTTGCTGTGTGCAGCTGTTTTTAAGGCTACAGACACTGAAACAGCCTCTTTAGAACAGGACTAGAGTGAATCGTCTTTGCAGTAATTTGAGCTGAAAATTTAAAGACAGATTCTGAGACATGACTTTGATTAATTTGCTGAAAAGGGGCCCGATATGGGACCTTTAATCAATGGCATTGATACAGAACCATACTTTCAATGGAGAAGTACCGACTGTGAGGTAACGATCCTCATACTTCTTTCACAAGCGTTTAAATATACACCCTTACCACATTCTTCTCATTGGGTCTGACGGCAACGCTGCCAAAGATCTCCTCTCCCTTCTTGACAGTTAAGTAGTCCTCTAAATAAAACACCGTCTGCTTCCAGTGTGTGCTGGGAGCATCTGGAGCTGAAGACAGGATGGGAAGAGGTGAAGGGAAAGACGATGAAGAGGAGGATGAACAGTAGAGAAAAAGAAAAGCAAAACAAAGTTAAGCAGTAAAGCGAGACCCCCCGAGGAAAGAGGCGTTACAGGGAGTAAGGGAAATTAAAAGATGTACAGAACAGTTCTGAGGGGCACTAAACTGCCTCGGGCACGTTAACGTGGAAGGAATTTAACAGCAAAAAGGGCTGAAATTCACTCACCCAGTGGGAGAAATACAGAGGCAGATAGGAGAGAACTCCTTCAGTGATGCTCGGCCTCAGGCCCAACAGCCATAGCCAAACATAGAACCTCCTCTACACAACATTATGTAAGCAGTGGATGCATGAATGTATTAACATAAGCTTACATAACAGCTCAGCTAGTCTCACTATAATAGGTGTCCTCGGCACCACAGCGAAAAGTGCTTGGAGATTCCGTCGGTGGACACACTGCTTTGGCTCATGTAACACCAGCAGAGTGTATCCAAGAGCTGGTTAAATACAGGAGGTGCCCTGTAACCTTCACTGATTTACCATTCAAAATATTCAAGCGGCTGCGGGGTGGGTCAAAGAAAAACTACTTCTCTAACCTCTTGTGGAAGCACTGAAGGAAATCTAGTTTTATTTATTCAGGTGTTGAAATTTAAGCAATAAGTTTTCAGGCCCAGTTTTTTTTTTTTTTGGTAGACATTAGTTAGTATTAAAATCAATTAAAAGTTTTCTAATTTATCAAGTAAAACAAGAACAATGTTTCATAAGGCTAATGTTTTTTTTGTCAGATTTAAATAGTGTGAGTACAGTAGTCCTGTATACATACAGGCTAAATTGCTATAATAAAAAAATTATATCATCCGATGTGAATTTGAAGGAAACTTATTTTAAACCATGTGAACTCCAAATGGCATGTTATTGTTAAAGAAACTGCAAAATGGCGCCATTTATCAGAACCAGAAACTGAGAAAACATCAGATTTTAAACTTTAAAACATGAGTTATATGCCATACTTTTCTAAAATTCTACCTATTCTATCGTAATACTTAAAGAAAATCACTTTATTTTACTTCTTTTTTTAAAACGTTTTCCAAAAATAAACCATTTGCTCTAAACAGATTCCATTGAAAAGAATGTAGGGACCTTTTGGCTGAACAGACAAGAATGTAAACAACTTAAAAACGTAAGTAATAAAATATCTATAATATGTAAAGTTTTTTTTTGTTTTTTTTTCCAGTGTTGGTAACACCTATAGGCATTTAGATAAAAATTTTGTAAAATAAATAATCTGTTTTGGGGTTATTTTTTTCTTTCATTTTTTAAATGATTTATAGCATTAGTACTGTGGTACAATCCACATATAACATCCTCCAGTCCTTTATACTTCTAGTCATGGCTGTACTGTTTCCATAAAGGTGCAGGACTTTATATTTCAGTAAAATAAATAAATAAATAAATGAAACCGCAGTGAATGAAAATACAACAAGAGTAGAAAACACCTAGAAACTGCTTCAGGTTAAGGTGCATCTTAACACTCTGGATCCCTTTTTGGCTTTGTTTCTAAAACTATCCCTACATACACTTCTTTTTTTTTTTTTTTTTTTTTTTAAATCAAACTGAATGTGTTGGTAGATTTGCTTCCTGTTCTCATTATAAGCTGTTACTGTTGTCACATCCGGTGCCTTGCAGTGTAGTTCTGACACACAATCCCAGGAAGTTTGGCCCTTGGTAACTACACAGAATGGTGCAGACTTGGAGTTAGGACATTTGCACCTCGAGTAATAATCCAATCACCTCCACTGTATGAGGGTGGAGGACAGAAAAATAACAAACTGTGTAGCTGCACACTATTAGAAATAAATGAGAAAATATGTGTGTAGGGGGGTGTTGTGTTTGGGTGAAGCAGCAGAAACTATTATTTCTGATCCTCACCAGTGGAGAAGCCAGTCTTCTTGTGACATTTGGTGAACTCAATGTTGAAGTAGGTGACCAGAGCATGGACGTAATCGTTGCGCTGGATCTGCAGACAGAAGGCTGAGGTGAAGGACAGGTCCTCTGGCTTCACAGTGTAGATGTCCACTTCCTGGGGTGAGTAGGGGAAATGAGTTAATTTCCATAAATTTACCCCTGTGATGCTAGAATAGCGGTGTAGTAATGTACAATCACACGACACAACTTGTCACCACCACCACCACTTGCGATCTCTCACGCATCACATGTACAGTATATGTTGGTCCTTCTTGATTATTCACCATGATTATTGTGTGTGTGTGTGTGTGTGTGAAAGCCCACAGGTTGAATCACGGCTGGCGAGTGAAGCCTGCTCACAGTACACATGCTGTGTGGGTGTCCTCCTTCAAGTCTACTAAGGAGGGAGGTTGTGTGTGAGTGTGTTATATCAAGCGCTGCCTTATGGATGTAGCCGCAGATTTATTGTAAGCATCACATTGTGCCGCCTGCTCGGCATCATAGTGGATCCGAAATAGAAAAAAAAAAAAAAAAAGGAGCAGGTGTGTGTCCACTTTGCATGTAGATGATGTTGTATGGCGATGGGGGGGAGATTTTTTTTTTTACACCGCAACCTGTTCGTGTTGCCCGGCATGTTGGACCACGGATCCCTCGGCCATGTGGCATCAGCATGACAGATTGTGATTTAACACCTCTGTCCTTTCCAATGATGCCAAGCCTGTATAAAGCAAATTGTAGGAGGAGAGAAAGGGAGGAAAAAAAAATCCCCAGGAGCGACTTTGTAATTTTAGCATGTGAGGAATGACTGGCAGTTTGAATTATGGCGGGGTCATGCGGCCGGCGGAAAGGAGGGGGGAAGAATAAGCCCTGAAAACACCCATGTGAAAGAGATACAAGCAGCGAGAATTAATTTTCAGACGAGCATGTCAGTAACTAACCAGTAACCGGCCCACTATCCTAACACATAAATCACTTTTTTTTTTAACACAAAAGGCAGGATCATCGCTTATCGAAGTGATGGAGAGCCCATTTCATTCCCGCTGGTGGCTTAATGGCCGCTCTCGTGTGACATTTCACCGTCGCGCAGACGGAGAGAGGCGCAGGGAGACCTCCTTATTCGCTCAGACTAGTGAGGCCTGACATTGTTTAAATCAGAGAGTGAAAGGGAAGAAGAAAGGGAGTGATTAGGAGGAAAAGAGCATGATCGCGAAATGATAGGAGAGAGAGGACGGATGAAGATATTCGACACTGAAAATAGAACGTGAGATGAGGGAGAGAGAGAGAAAGGACGGCGAACGCCAGAAAGCAATGACAGGAGAGGTAAAGGTTGAGGGGACAAACAAAAAAAGCTATCACCTCTCTGAATGCTCTCATCCTCTGTTCATTTGTGAGATGAAAGACAAGCCGCTGTTGTATCTTCAAGCATGGAAACGGAGCCGCAGACTATTACTGCGTGCCAGAAACCTCTATTATGTACTAGAAAATAGTCTCAGCAGACGGGGAATGTTCAGAGGAAGTGTGAGCTGTATTGTATTTTTTGCAGAATTCCTGTGTACTAAAAATTTTTAAAAAAAACATTGTTTCATGAAAGACACACACTCATTTATGCACACACAGGCTAACCTTCAGGAGGCAGGCGTTAGTCACCACCTGCTTGGGATCTACCACATCCACCAGAGGCTCTTTGATGGCCACGTTGCGAATGCAGCTCATGTCAAAGCCGTACACGTTTTCCCACCCTGTGCACACAAAAACAACAAAAAAGTACAGCTAACAATGTGAACACACATGGAGTGCGGCTTCCTGGATTTTTTTTTTCTTTCAGTTTCATGCACTTGCAAAGCTCTGCTCCCTTTCTTCCTGCCAAGCTGTCAGCACAAAAAAAAAGAAGAAAAAAGGTAGTAGAGAAAATAAAACAGAGCGCTCGCTTAACCCTGCCAGGAAGAAGAGTCCCGTGCTCACGCTGTCTTTCTGTCTATCCGGGCCCTATCTGAAAAAAGACAAGCCCTCCTGAAAATAAACTGCGGCCTCCACCTCCTCCGCCGTGTCTGGCAGCCGTTTTTATTATAATTTGGGCTGAAAACATACCAAACAACCCTTCCCTCCCCCATTCCCTCTGTCCCTCCACTCCACCTTGCCTTGTCAGGGGGCCAAACTCTAAGTCTGTACGATGAGAAGGTGGAATGTGCCACCGACGCAGAGAAACTAAAAATAAGAGTGTGAGGGTTTGGGTAGACTGAATTCTTTTGGGATTTTGTGTGAAAGAATGTACCTCTTCTGTGTGTATGTTCAGCTGTAATAAAGCAGAGAAGGCCACCTGTGAAGTAAAAGGAAACTCAGCAGGAGTTATTGGCCCAGATTTGATGCCGATGCATGTACAAGTCTGAATGGCACCTTTAATATCGGCGCTTTGATGTGGATCTCAAGCTCAGCGCTCCAACTGTGATCGCTATTTGAACACATGGAGTGAGTTTAGAGAAGGGAAAATCTTGTGGGCTAAAGGTACCACAATAGTTTAAATACTGTTGGTATTACTTTTTATTAAGACGCCTATAAAGGGGGTTTCTATGTTAGAACTAATAGCGCTATTCTTGGCAACAGATACTTTCAATTTGTTTATATATTAGTAGCAATAGAAGTTGGGTTGCCAGTTTGTGTAAAAATAAGTTTGGTTGTCTGTTTAACTAATGCTAACGTACCTAGCTTAACAACCCTAACCCTGCAGGCCAAAATTCATCTGTCATTAACATTTATAATGCTAAACTTATTGGGTTGTTGTAGTGAAGAAACTCTATCTACTAAGTTACCAAGATAAATAACTCATTTGATTTTTATTACGGATTTACTCATTTCTGAGTCTGCAGTTATGTACCAGCTAATAAAGCTAATTTTCTAAATGTTGTCATTAGGAACACGTGAATATTCAACTAGTTATTCAAAACTCAGCATGCTAACAGGTTAAAGTAATTATTTGTAGTTTATTAATATACAATGCTGGTTAACTGTTGCATCTAAAATGTTATGTAGGTAGCCACATTAGCTGGGTTAGCTGATGCTAATTGCTGCTAACTGACTGTGAAAGTAGTAATTCGGGACATCCCTAGTTTTCATATTAACAGTGTAGTGTAAAAACGGGTGGCTCGTAGTAAAGAAGTTACCATACGTGGCAATTCTTTTACGCATCTTTTAGCATATTGTTTTAAATTTATGGCCCAGTCTGACCTTGTCGTTTTGAGCTAAAATAAAGCCACGCACTTAGCTGCTCAAACAAGTAGCATCACAGGTGGAGAAAGTGGTGAACAGGGTGGAGAAATTTGCAGTTAAATAGCCTGACATTTCCCTCAGGAGCTGGTGGAGACCAAAACTGAGCCAGAAGAACAGTTCATAATAAACCCCAATTTGTGCTTTTCGTGTCCGCAAAGATCTATGAGACCTACATTTTGTCATCTGCCCAAGTCTGTAAGAGTCAAAATAGATGTCCATGGACGGCTATGGAGAGCAAAATTCGTGCAGATTGTATAGTGCTGACAATCTGGGCCAAGCAGGCCAATTTTTCTGGTGAACACAGCGGAGAAATTATTGTATAAATAGCCAGATATTTACCCCGTCAGAGACCAAAACTGATCTTGAAGAATAGTGAATGTCAAAAGCGAATTTGTGTTTTTAACATGTGCATGTCAGCAAGATCTATGGGTGTCCGTGTGCAGCCCAACATTTATGACCAAGCAGACGGTACACGCTGCAAGCATGCCAAATTACGTGCTAAGAAAACAAACGATGATCCAAAGAAATTCTTGAGACTGTGCGAAGACATTCTCCGTCATCCACCCACAACTAATCATCATCTGAATTCTATGAGTTGTGATTGAAATAGTCGCCACCGGACTTGGGAGTTGATTTGACACGAGCATGCTCTCCACTGACAGTGCCCAAACACAGTGGGACAAGTTCTCCAGAAGTCCTGTGCTATGTCCGCCTACTGTGCTCAGCAGGGATAATCACACTGACACAGTGCTGCAGCCCAATCTGTAGCTAGTTGCTGTATCTCATAAAAAGTGCACAGCCAATCTTTCAGAAACATCCAAAGGAGCCCTGTGTGGTTTTATGTGCTCGATATGAAAGGCAACAGGACCGTCTTTGTTGCAGACCAACGTGTACCCTATTTTAGTATGAATAGAATCTGCATCTGCTTTCAGAGTTTGCATTGGTCAGCACATGGGGGTGAAGAAAACAAGAACTGGCTGCAAGACGTAGATGAACATGGGGGTTCTGCTGCCCCAAGTGTGGAAGTACTAATTAGTTACATATTGTGAATGTTTATAAGTTAACTTACAATTAAAAAGTGAGTCTTATTCCACAGACATTGACTTTCCTTCACCTGCACAGTGGGCATTATTTAACCACAGCTGACAGGAAGACAGAGAGACGGTGACAAAAGAAAGCAATGACTTAGCAAAAAACATAAAAGTGAACGGCAACAATTCTACTGTAATTACTCACAGTGAATCTTAAAGTCCTTGTACTGCCTGTCTTCGATGGCTACCACGTAGAGAGCTGCTCTGTCAGGGAACATCAGGCCTCCAGGTTTCTAAACACAAGAGAAACTTCAGGTATTCAGTGCACACACACACACACAGACACAAAGGCCATTCATCATCTTTATTGTTCACACACCTGGCATGTAATATAAGATCGCATGTGCCGAGCATAAAGCCTGCCGGGCAGCTACTGAGGTTAGAAACCAGATCATTCATGTATGACCTCAGCATCTGGCCAGCAGACACATGCACACAAGCTTACAGTAAATCCTCTCCTTCATCACTGTCGGGTCTGTTTAGGTGTCAAAAGCCTTATTTGTCCAGCCGGCCACACACACACGCATTAAACCCCAGCCGAACACCCCGAGCCTCCAGCAGGAGTATCATACCAGCCACTTGTCCCTGGCGAAGATGACTGTGTTGAGCATGGACTCGTAGAAGAGGCAGTAACCCATCCACTCTGAGATGATAATGTCCACTTTATCCACGGGCAGCTCCACCTCCTCCACCTTACCCTTGAAGATGGTAATGACTGCAAGCGCGGAGAGCCACAAAACAGCAGGCAGCAAATTACTTCGCAGCTTCTTCATCACATTAATGCAAAATCGGACAATGGCTCCGTTCTCAGACGACATTGTTTTCTATGCCTCGGGACTGCTGCAAATTAGTACAGCTTAATTACGGTTCTCATCTTTGCCTCGATGTTTTATGCATGCGTTTTGGTTGCCATGTTTTGTGACCCCTTTGACCCATGATATGGGGATACAAGGAGATAGATTTGAAAAAGGAAGACACATCCTGAGCACTATGTAGGTAGAACTAATGCAAAACACTGGGGAGTTTAGCATGATGGGGTTGGCTAATTGAACAATAATGCACTAAAATAAACTCTGCTTTAGCTGTAATTGGGTGGAATAAATGGAACTATTACATTCTCTTAAAAACAGTATGCAAGTGGTAAACTAGTTTGTCTTCTGAATGGTGCTTACTATGACGTAGTTACATCTCTTTTTTCAAGTTACATCATGTAGAGACAAAACTTAGTTTAAAACATTTCTATGGGTAATTGTTAGTAATAATTAGCAGTACTACATCTAATTTGCTTGGATACTTACTGTAATATTTGTAGTAATTACTCCATAAATAATGGTCTATACATTGTAGATGTAGTAGTGTTTGGGTGATAAAAACCTAAATTTATATCCAAAAAACAAATTAAAACCAATTTTACGTCAAATCTGCAGGTTCTGAAACCCTCCATCTGTGAAGCTCAGGGTGGCATTTTATCAGTAATCAACCTCAGTCAGGGAATTCTGATTGATGGCAAAGATTACGATTATTTGACATCAGAGACGAGCTGCCAGTTAAACCATCAGAGCTGTGACTGATATTGTCAAGTGTGACGGTAATGACGGGAATATGCTGATTTTTCACACCACTTCTAATCCAGATGTCTTTGCGCTGCATTCCGATTGGTGAATGTACAGTTCTTACCGTTGTGTAGGTGGTTGGACTTGATGATCTTCTCGGAATATTCAGATATGCTTGAACATTCGATCTGCAGGTAGAAGGACAAAACCGATGTTTGTTGCACTCATGACATGATGTATAGGAGATATTTAAATTTTGGTTCTTTGTTGTAAAATGAAAAAAAAATCAGTAGCAGACACAACCAGCAACAGTTTTATCCATCATATCCCCTTTCTGTGTACAGCAGGTTCACCTCTGGGGTAAAATTCAAAGGACAAATTTAATGAAACCCCGCTAATCCATCTAAACTCTAATGTCCCTGGTTGCTCACCTCAGACCTGGCGCTGCATGAAATTTAATGCATCATTTTAATCTCCCGTCCATAAGTGTAACACAGTATATGAATCATACATAAGTGCAGAAGATACTGCCGGTAATGCATAACCTGTGACTTGCAGCTCTCCCTCTGTGCGTGAGATTGTCTGACAGAGATTACAGCTTCTGTACCAGATTGGCCCTTAGGAGGAATTTTAAAAAGGCAAAAAAAAAATTTGCGTGTGCATGTCGAGTGTGAAAGGCTACGAATGAGAGATAATGAGACGGCAGAGCCAGACATGATATCAGTTGGAATACCAAATAGGTGTTTAGCTTTTCGCTAAAGATTTAAACAAAAAAAAGCAACGAGCGTTAGATTACAGTCGAGTATTTGTTCGCGGCCCGAGGGTGCGTGTATCAGCCTCACCCCGTACACGTGTTTGGCACCGGCATTGGCAGCGAACATAGACAGGATCCCTGTGCCGCTGCCAACATCCAGGACGATTTTATCCTTGAACACATGCTTGTTGTGGTACATCGCGTTCCTGTAGGTCAGCGTCCGCACCTCATCTTTCAGCATCTCCTGCATTAGAGAGAACGAGCAAACAGCTGTGATACATATTGATTTCGGCACACATGTGAATATACCGAACTCGTGATTACCCAAAGAATAGTGTGATTCATACAAACTCTCAAAGGAATAAATAATAGACATAATGCTGGATGATGGACATGCAGGTGCGTATACATTATGCCATCCTCAGCAGGTGGATGCATATTTAATTTTCTTGTGTAATGAGGTAGTAAAGGCTGTATTTAGGCCAGAAGCCTCAGTGACAGCGGCAGAGCTTCTTGAAATAGACAGGAGTACAACACGAAACCTTTAGGGACTGCCTGATATCATCTCCCTGAGCCCATTCAAACATCCTACTTTCCTTCCTTCTTGCGTCGCACTCCTTTAATCAGGACACTCTCTTTGTCTTGCAAGCAGACAAAAAAGCTGACCCACATGCTAAATATGGACGCCACTTAAAAGGTCTATATGTCCCTAAACTTCTTCCACCGCCTTCCCTTTACAGATCAAGGTCATTAGTTAGGCTATAGCATCAGCACTTCAATGCAGATGGTGGTAAAAGACAGATAGTTTTCGCTTTTGGAGTGCTGAATATGGAATCTGGATCTTTCATGCTGGTTGGTAATGGAAAAGTCTCGTCTTTTGTCAGCTGAGAAGAGATACTTCAGCAACTCTACCTCCTCTCACAATTACACTCCTAAACCTAAACTTTTTTCAGTGACGTTTGGTTTTCATGCTCGAATCTTCCGTTCAGACTGACATTTTGAAAGCGGTGGACTCTTCTTTTGCTTGTAATTTTACTTTCAGTTGGTTGTTTTTTTTTTGCAATTTTCTTTTGCACTGTTGTCTCGAAATTGATTTTCAGATCCTGCAAGCAGAGGGTTTGAAATTACTTGTGTGTAAGTTATGGATTATATATCCGTGTCAGAAAGACGCGGCTCGACAAAATCAAAGCCTATCTGTCCGTGGAAATTGTGGCGTTGCATCAGCTATGATTTTTGACATATTCTGCTGCCAGAAAGTCAGACTAACAGAGTTGGAACTTCTCGTGCAAAATCAACAGGAGGCATCTGGTGTCATTCTTTTACTCCGATGATGCCAAGCTGCCGGTCGTCGGCCCGCTCTGCCTACCTCGTGGATGCCAAAGTGGGCATAAGAGTCGAAGTAGTAGTCCCGGGATGTCATTTCCTCCGGGCTGATGAACTTGGCGATCTTGCCTCGACCGGGACAGGTGGCCAGAGCTGCTACATGAGGCGTATGGGGGACGCAGGGCACATGGTGGGTAGTAGGCACTGGTTTAGGCAGTGGGGAGGGCTGAGCAGACTGGGAGAGGGGGGACATGACAGGCTGCTGCCGCTGATGAGAAAGAAGATTAAAGGAACAGTTTCAGAATTCCGACATGGCAGATAACAATGAAAGCAAAACCACTGACTACGTTAGAACTGTATGTAATGGAAGACAACTGCCCCAAATTATTCCCCTTTGCACACTAGCTATATACGGTTAGTTTTCATTTCAGGTGTTTTTGAGGGGGTTATCGTGACCTTGCTACTCTTTGAATACTCATCTAAGGAAAACAGGAGAGGTGGTTTTGAGGTAAGTTGATGTAATATTTTGACGATAAATCTGTTATTTATCAGCATATACACATACAAACTGTTTTACTGTTATTTTGAGAGTTTATAGAGGGGTTAGCCAATAGCTTGAACGAAAAATAACAAACGCAAAGACACAAAAGTAACTTTTAAAGGAAGACACCCCTCACGAACATCAATATTTAAGATACTGTAGCATAGATTTCTGATAATTTATGAACATTATAATCTAATACAGTGACATAATAGCTAACCAGCAGTAAAA